CTATTGTGGACTCTTTGTCTAAACTGTTCGTGTTGTGGTAAATGTGTAACACAGTGATGAGGTGGATCAAGGCAGTCAAGGAAACCAGCAAGGGAGAGGTGAGCAATGACCTGTTTCACTTGTGGCCAAATGGCCAAAAAGGCTTTATGTATCAGGAAAAAAAAAAAAGGTAAAAGTTATGGAAACTGCCTCTAGAGGTTATTTATTCATTCAAAAAGAAGCATCTGCACATGCCAAGAATGCTCTAAACACTAAGGACAGGGAAGAAAACAAGATAGAGAATTTTTTTTTGCTGCATACCATTTCTATTACCCTGGAAGTATGCAAACAATTATCAAAAGCCAAAATCTGTGTAGAAGACTTGATGGTATTAAGTGCTAGTGAGAAAAAAAGTTTCAAGAGCAAATTAATATTTAGGTGTTTGAGATGGTGTCACAGAAAACACAAAAATTATTAACAACCTGCACTAGAAGATGATATGGAAGGCAAGACCTGAGGAAAGTGAGGGACAGAACCATGCTCTGGGACAAAAGCCTTCCAAGAAGTTGGATGCGCAAATGCAGAAACCTTGAGATGAGAACATACCTGTTCATCAAGTAGGAGGAATATGCAGGCAGCATGTATGAGCAGATGGGGAGAAAATCAGGTAATGCTGACCCAGATTGAAGAGGGATTTTCAAACCATTTTGTATACTCATGTCTGCTTGATGGAAATCTATTTAAAAGTTTAGAACAATGGATATGATATAATATACTGCTTATACCAAATACTAATTAGTCCTAAGCAGGTACCTTCAGGTAACTAAAGTTCACCTGGCCTCTTCCAGTGCTCAGCTGTAACTCCATAATCTCAGCAGAATCTCTTACACCCGAGTAGGCACAAGACACTCCACTTGATTCCTTAAATTTTAGCATGAATGAATAACACATTTTAAAATTCACTTAAATTGCCTTAAAATTTTTTCAGACAAAACAAAAACTACTGTTGATTGAATAGTTACCATGTCTCTGACTGTAGACTTAGAATTTTAGAATTATTTTATATAAATTTCTACAAAATCTTATGAAGTAGATATTATTCACATTTTACAAGTGAGAAAAGTTGTGGTGTATGAAGATTGTCTCAAATCTCAGGTCTGCTAGATTTGGGGAAAAAACCCTAATAACTCTGTTCTTAATCAATGCTAGACTAAGGTGATAAGCATTAATGTAATGACTGTATGAAATTTTCTTCTTTTGCAAACAAACTTGAAGTTCCAAGGAGAGATGAGTAAGGAAGAAAAAAGACAGAATCGTAAAATAATGTACATATAGAAAACTAGAAGGAAATCCATCCTAGTGCTATTTTAGGCTTATTCACTGGGTTGGGTCATTCTGGATCACAATAGCTTTTATTAGTAGTAGAAATTCTAGACCAATACTGCCCCTGGGGCCTTGGAGTCTCCAATCCCCACCTCCACTTATTCAACAGGTGCCAAATAGTGCCAGATGATAACTTACATTCCACTTTTTTGAGTCTAATGTAATGTTTCCTTCCATAGCATTCCTTTCTCATATTTTACTCTACAGCCATTTCTCAGCATCCACAGAGGACTGGTTTGAGAATCCCTGTATATACCAAAATCTGTGGCTGCTCAAATTACATTTAAAATATTGTATTATTTGCATACACCTTATGTGCATATGCTTACATACTTAAGTAATATCCAGATTACTTTACAGTAACTAAGAGAATTTAAACACTATTTAAATAGTTGCTAAGGTGCATTGTTCAGGGAATAATGACAAGAAAAAAATACATATATATTTTCAGGACGGGTACAGTATGTTTTGCCTGTGAATATTTTTGATCTGCAGTTATTTTAATGTGCAGATATGAAACCCAAGGATAAGGGGGTTGATTGTTCTAAATTATGTTTCTTTGAGAACAGTTTAAAAAAGCTAACTCATATGTATGAATGTCATAATTTTAGTGGGAGAGACCATTAGTGTTTGTGTGCAATCTGAGTTATACAACTCAATTTCCCCCAGTGGCAGTATTGAAAAAAAAAGTAGAACTTGCCATATAGGTCTTTTTGGAATATGTAATGTAATGAGAAAAAAAGATATTATACATATTGGATATTGAATTTTTTTTTTAACATTTAAATCAAAAGAGGTAATCATCTACACTAAGAAATATTAGAAAAATAGAAAATATATATGTTGACAGCTACAGATAATTTAGAAAACCTTTACTTCTAATGGTCTTGGCCTCAATAATAATTTTTAAAAACAATATATAAAGGAATGTATGAAATACATTATAAATCAAAATGAGGAGATCTTACAATTAAATCACATAAAGGAGGTATTTAAGCATGAGTTTGAGCAGAATAGCTAAGAGATAAACTATCAGAATTATTTCCTGCTAACTTGATTTACTTTGGGGAGCTATATCCCAGTGTTTCTCTATATTTTTATTTTTGAATAAGTTCCTCTTCATTGTTTTTCCCTATGAAATCCCTGTTTTAACATTGTCTTGAAGCAAAATAAATTGACATTAGATTAATTTATAATCATATTTCATAAATTAATTAACATAATTTCAATGTCTAACTAACAAGATATTATATACTTATTGACATGATTACTTAGAAAAACAAAGTTGTCTGATATTTTGTTTAGACCATGCAATGTTTTAGGAATAAGTACATGTTACATTTAACAACTGCAGTCTCTCCTTATCTGTAGATTTGCTTTTTGCAGTTTCAGTTTCCTGTGGTGGACATTGGTCTGAAAATGTTCAAATAGAAAATTCCAGACATAAACAATTCATGTTTTCAACTGCATGCTATTCTCAGTAGCAGGATGAAATCTTATACCATCTTTCCTCCGGAAATGAATCACACCTTTATGACCCGCCTGTTAGTCACCAATTTGAATTTGGTGTTCAAATTACCCTTATCTGAATTGTGGCCCCCAGATGCAAAAGTAGTGGTGTGGACAATACAGTTGTACCAAAGACAAGCCATAAAGAGTTTCCTATAAATGGTATTGTGAAAGTCCTCTAGTTAAGGCAAGAACAAATATCATGTGTTTTGAGGTTGCTGACATGTGTAATATCAAATCTTCTACCCATGAAATTGTGAAGAAGGAAAAAGAAATTCAGCTGGTTTTACTTTCTCATTTTAAACAGCAAAAGTTACAGCCATAATGTGTGGTGAGGGCTTGGTTAACATGGAAAAGTGTGTGTGTGTGTGTGTGTGTGTGTGTGTGTGTATAAAAGACAGTGAATAGAGAACTTGTTGCTGTTCATAGTTTCAGACATCTTTGAAGGGGCTTAAAACATCCCCTCAGTAAGGGAGAACTACTGGAGTTGAAATACTGAAAACAATGTCATCACTAAACAAAACATTCTTCCTTGAATGCCATACATTTTACACAATTTGGAGATGACTATTTTAGAACAGTAAAGCAGAATGGAATTATTGTATATCACTGTTAGGGTGTGTAAACAAGTCAAGATGGCGTCTGGCATTTTGCAAGGGGGCGTGGTTTGTGAAGTAACCCCAGCGAGCCATTAAGTGTGGAGATTCCTTATTGGTTGACTGCTGTATCTAATTTATGTTAATTAAGATAAGCTGTGTGGAATGTATATATATCCTTCTTGTCCTACAATAAATGGCTCCCACTCCTGCTGTATCAACCTTCACAAGTTTCTCGTCACCCCCTGGTTATTTTGCTGCAGCTGGACTTCTGCATATCACCAGCACCTAACATAGTACTTGGCACTAAATGGAGCCTCAAAAATACATTTTGAGTGCTGGGGTTGTGGCTCAGCAGTAGAGTGCTCACCTAGCACAAGCAAGACCCTGGGTTCAATCCTCCACACCACATAAAAACTACAGATATTGTGTTCAACTACAGCTAAAAGATAAATGTATATTTAAAAAACACATTTTTAATAAATGAATGTTCTCCTTAGAATTCTTTGACTTATTGTCTACAATAGCATATGCAATTTATTTTTGTATAGCAATTGGGAATTTTCAAAGTGTCCTCACATAGATCGCATTTGATTCTCATACTAATCCTTTATATAGAAAATATGTGCAAGTATACCTGTTTTATCAATGAACAAACTCTCAGTTGAATCTAAGAATCTAGCCTGTGTAATGCTACTTTGAAGATGGTTGATAAAGCTTCTTTCCTGCCCCAAATCCTCAAACTGTATCTCATGGTTTATATGTTGGATTATACAAAGCACCACCTTTGATTTTTGTGCCAGACATCCTCAACCTAATTTACCAAGTTTTTTTTTTTGTTTTTTTTTTTTTTTTATTTCCCGGTTTTTTTTCGGGTTCCCTTTGGCCTTACTTGGTTTGAAACTTTGGTTTTGTTGGGTTATTTTTTTTTTTGGTTTTGTTTGGTTTGGTGAGTTTTTGGTTAGTTGAGGCACGTTTTTTGTTTCGCATTTTTTCTTTTTTTTCTTTCTTAATTTTGGTTTTTTTTTTTCTTTTTTTGGTTTTTTTAATTTTTTTGAAGGTTGTCCAAATTGAAATTTAGAAGACAACACTTTGCCCATTTAGCCCATGTCCGTATTGGAAACTTGACATTTATTTCCTATTTCTCTTTCTGATTATTCTGAGCATCATTATGTATATTACCCTCATACATGTGCTCCAATATCAGTTGTGACCCAAAGATTGTGATAACAGAAAATTAAAGATTCTAATTATGTACCTTTTATTAAGTACCTACTTAATTCCAGATGGCAGTAGATAAGCCCTCCCTTGGAAACAGCATAATTACACTCATTCTGAAGATGAGAGAGTTCAGGGGACAGTATAAGCAATTTAACAGTTTTAAGTAATTCCCTTAAGCAGACTTATCTAGTAGATAATATGGAACCTGATATTTGCAGGAGTTTACTTGTTCTGTGTTTTTCTCTTGTTTGTTTATGTGGAATGTCTCCAAACTAGAACCCTTGGTTACCACAATACAATTGGTTTCATCTGTTCACATTAGTTTGTTGAAATAACCTAGTTTCCTTAAAGTGATGACGTATACATTCCACCACACATTTGGGTATCTAACCCTCTTAATGTATTTTCCCCTTTATTTAGTGATATCCTTAACACAAAAACACCCATGGAAAAGAGCAGTGTGGATATTCAAGAGAAGAGGAATTATACAACAGGTAATTTTGTGCCTTTAATTTCCTAAGAATAAGCTAATAATCAAGAGTAAAACTAAAACAGACACATGGAAAGAGGGAGCACCAATTGATAACAGAGAGGAGTGTGGGTAGATGGGAGAAGAGATAAGGAAAGGAAGTCATTCCAGAAACCATAAAAAGAACAGGCAAAATCTCCCCCACAAGATAAGGAAAGGAAGTCATTCCAGAAACCATAAAAAGAACAGGCAAAATCTCCCCCACAAGATAAGGAAAGGAAGTCATTCCAGAAACCATAAAAAGAACAGGCAAAATCTCCCCACCAGATTCCTTGCTCTGGGACCCCTTCTCTTTGGAGAAGTCTATCTGTGTATCTCTGTGGCTTTTGTAATAAACTTACTTCTTGCTTGCTACCTCTGTGTCCTGTTCTTCAATTCTTTGCTGAATAGAAACAACAAACCCAGCACCCTTAGATGGTAATAGTCACAATCAAAGACTTCTGAGTATTTATAACAATGCGTATATGTGGTTGTTTGGGGTGCAGCAGGGACAGATTAGAAATACAACACTTATTTATTCCTTCTTTATTTTTACTATAGAGACACCACATCAATTACAGTGCCCTAAACATTGGCTTCAGCTCCACGATAAATGCTAGACTATTTCTAGTTCTTTCAAAACTCAGAATGACAGTCTAGCTGACTGCTCCCAAAGAGAATCCAGTTTGCTGCTCATCCAAGATCAGGAAGAATTGGTAAATTGTTAAATAAAATTCTTTATATAACTTAACACTTTTAAAAGACTGCATCAAGACAGCTGGACTTCAGCCAAAGTTTCTGTGCAATGGAAGTAGAAACTTTGACTTCAAGAAGCTCATAATTTGGGAGACGGAACAGTCATATAACAATTTAATATAATATAATAAATTCAAAAGAAATAGAAATATATGTAGAGAGAAATATCACAAAGAAGAAAGAAATAACTAATTGGGGAGTTGGGGAATTAGGAAAGACTTCAGAGAGAAGGTGATCCTTGAACTATATTTTAGGGAATGAGAAGAATACAAATCATGGTTAGATAAACAGGTTCAATATTAAGTCATGTATTTTGTTTCAATTATAGAGATTCATACAGAACCTGATTAAGAATTAAGGAAATCTGTATTGGATTGGACTAAAATTTACATTATCAGAGAAGAAGTGGAAGTGAATAAATGGTTCTTTATTAAATCATGACAGGTGAGCTCATTTGAATATGTAGTTCACATCAGGTTCACATTGCAAAATAGTAACATTAATGAATATTGAAGATTGAATTTTATAGTGTTAATTTGGCTCAGACATTCTCCATAGGTTCAAAATAGGCTGGGAAGATGAATAACTCCAAAGTTAATTGGAAAATACTATGTATGAAAAGACACCAGCCCTTTATAAGAATATATGTTTGCATCTTCAATGGAGTGTTAAAGGAGAAGGACTAACTCTTTGGAAGGGATACAAAAATTCCTTTTTAAAATGTCTCCATGAAACTATTGGCACATAGAATTTCCAAAGTAGTATTTTTAAAATTGTGATGAAAAAGCATCATAGTGGATCATGAACCAATTCAGTAGGTCACAATCAGCATAGAAAAGATAAAAGATTATAATATAAAGGAAAAAATAATAAATATAATAGTGTGGAACTTGGATGCAGGACAGGGACTACCTGCATTGAGGCAAACATTATAGTATATTTAGCCAGTGTTATGAAAAAGACAGTTATTTTGAGGAATGTGAGAATATATGCATAAACCACAGAGAAGCCACTTGTTATTTTCTCTTAAGTATCTCATTTTTTCTTGAATAATATTATCAAGAGAACCCTCAATATTAAATTACACATTTTTAACAGAATTCATGGATAGTTGTATAGCAAAGAGCAGAGTATTCTTTTCTTGCACAAGCAAAAGCACATAGGGATCCAAACAAGTTTCACATTCAATGAGTTTTTATCAAGAGATGATATGGAGTGTTAGTTTAGTGGATCTTGAACAATTTAATTAAATTTGCATAAATTGAGACTTAAAATGTATTTTTTAATCATTCAAAAAACAAAGAGGTTGAAATGTAAAACAATGGAACATTCAGGGTTATGTACAATACAGTGCTAATGTATTAAGTATGGACAATATTAAACATTAAAAAGAATGTTGGCTTAATTGGCAAATTTTGACATTTTAGAGCCCATCTTCTAAAATATTTTTAAATATAAGATTTTTAAATGAAGATTATTCAAAAATAATTTAACCCTTTTGAAAAAGAAAATATATATCTGTTTAATTAATTCTATCTTGATTTTTCATCATTTTTTTCTGGGTATTTCTTCTATACTTTATTTACATTGAAATTAAGTTTGAGTTTGGTGTGCTGGCACACACCTGTAATCCATGTTACTTGGAAAGCTGAGAAATTCAAGGCCAGCCTCAGCAACATACAAGACCCTGTCTCAAAATAAATTAAAAGGTCTGGGAATGTAGTTTAGTGATTAAAGTCCCTTTAGTTAACTGGGCTATGATGTAAACGGCTTATTTCATTGTAGTCATAATAAAAATAAAATTTGAAAACATGTAAGTGTCTGTGAAGAAATATATTCAGTGGATGGATTAAATTCATGTGAGCCTCCTACTTTAGCCTGAGGGTAAAATTGGATGCTTTGAGATGTAGTCATCAGGTCCACCTTGGAAGCTGTTGTGGTACAGTAGAAGAGGATCCAGTTAAATTCTGCATTGCTTTCAACTTTCTAGAACCTTGTTTTCAAATAAAGGGAAAGAAAGTAGAGGATAATATATTTCTATAGAATTATTTGGGAATTAAAGAGGATACTGTCAGAGAATTCATCAGACATCTGGTTAGGGAAGGACCAGCAAGCCACTGAAGGCCTTTTGAAATAGTCACTGACTTGGCCAGATTGGCCTTAAAGAAATTACCCCCCAAATTGAAGAAATACTTCTACGGATGTGAGACATAAAATCTAGGGGGTTTCCAACAGTCTAGTTAAGGAAAGTTCACGGTTTGACCAGAAGGCTGGCACTGGAATAAATCAGATTAGCTGCTCAGGCTCAATGGGAACATGAAGAAGAGGAACAAAGGAGAAAAACAAAAGCCATGATGGAGCCCTGACCACTGCCTCTACCACTTTCTGTTTGAGACAAACATAAGGGAGCCTTAGATTCACCTCTCCCTGCAGCCAACCCCATATTAGCCCTTCCCATTGTTCAAATTTTATTCTCATCCCCACCTACAATAAACCACAATATCCATTGTTGTTGGAACTAAAGTAGGTTGAAGCACATACCCACCAACCTCTGCCTGAGGATGAAAGGACACACATGAACTGCATCTCCATTCCCCTGCATCCACTTCTATAGACCTTACATAGTCTTTCTTCATCAGGTCTCAGTTACCAAAACAGACTTTGGTTAAGCACTGTCATACATTTATGTTTCCTCTCAGTGCCTCACCCAAACATGTGGTTATAACTGATATATTTAAGAAAAATGAGGCTCAGTGAAGTAAAGAGACTTCACAGAATATATTATAAAATAGGGAGGTTTAATTCCCCGTTTCCAAAGCTTCTATATATGTGTGTATTCATTCTGAAGTTTCTTGTTAGAAGGATTCTTTCCAAGTGAAGATGAAGTTCCAGAGATTTATATTAACTTTATCTTAAAATTTTATATCATTATGTTTGAGAAAATCCCAAACATTAAGAGAGGTTTTTCTTTTTCTCCTCAGATTACAAATTTTTGGTGAAAATAAAAAAAACAGCTGTACTGCTATCTCAAGATGAAGGTATTTTCTGAGATCTGTAATTCAGAAAACAAATGGATCTGTGAAAAGAAACTAAAGCCTGTCAGAAATAAAGTATCTTGACTATGAAGCCCATCTCATTTTTTAAAAATTTTTCATTACAGATCTCTGTGATTTTAATTCTGTGTATTGTAAAAACTGTAGATTTAGAGGCATAACGTGAACAACTGCAGAGAATTCTAAAACTATAAGGAATCTTACAGAATGTCCAATCCATGTATTCTGTAAGTGAAAAAAAAAAAAGACACAGACATATCATTTTAAGAGACAGTGATATTCTATAGAAAGTAGATCAGGACAGCTGAAAGGAAGTGAATTTTAATCCTGAAGAGAAAATGTGGCCTTTGCTAATCCCCCTAAACCTCAGCTCAGATGAAGTCTAGTAAATTATTCCTAAAGTCCTATGCAACTCTTATAGTCTGTCTTATTCTGTACTATATCACACAACTGAGTTGTGGAAGAACATGATGAAAATCCTTTCTCTCCACTCTGACACGAGATTCATAAATAAAGGGGTCTGGGAAGGAGTCCACTGTAGTCTGGATGTCCCCTTCAAAACTCTTGCTGACACTTAATTGCCATTGCAACAGTATTCAAAGGTAAGTCCCTTAAGGTATTAACCCATGCAGGTTCCACCATCACCAATTAGCTTAATACTGTTACCATGGGAGTGGTTGTTAGGAAAGAGAGCTCTCACAACGTGGCACCCTCCACCATGTCATGATGCAGCAAGAAGCCCTCACCAGGTGTTGGCATTCTCAGCCTTCAGAACTGTGAGAAATAACTTCTTTTTCTCTCATGTCTTCTGTTATAGTAACAGAAAATGGACTAATACAGGTTTTTGGCTCTTCTCACCCTTCCACAGGCCTTCCCATTTTCATTTTCTAAACACTTCCTTTCTTCCACATCTCCTTCTTACTATGGCTCACAAACTATACCCAAAATGTAATCATATCTTTCATTATTCTAATACAAAAATGACATGTTTTCTTCAGCTCTTCAGTTGGGTGAATTAAAGTAAAACCAAAAAGAAGTGTTTATGCTTTTAGATCCCTTGAATGTTCACTTTTCTAAAAATATGCACATTTTCCTATGAAGACAAGTAATCATATTGAATTTACTATAAATTAATAACATTTCTGTAAAAGTAGACATATACTTACCCTAACCATTTAATGCCAAATTAAATTATATAAATTCAAGTAGTATAATGGCCAAAATATCTTGATTTTATTTCCTAAGATAGAAAATTTATAATACTTATTAATATGTTTTCACATGCCATAAGTATATTAAAATCTAAGTATAATTTATCTTATGAAAACTACATGGGAAACAAATTATTTAGGAAAACATCTTAAGTGAAAACATCATTATAAAACAAAACAACACATAATAATAGTGATATTTTAAAGTTTATGACACCTCTGGAATAACACCTGTAATGACACTAACAGAATAGAAATCTGAAGAAATGTTTCCATAACTGACAATGTGCAATCATGCCTCTTGGAAAGGTGACCATAATAACATTCTAAAATGATTTAGGATAAGACTCTGTAAGTCCATTCATTTAGCTCAGAATTTATTCTAAACATTGACCTTTTCCACCCCCTCCTTAGGACTAAAGGCAAATGAACCTAAAGCATATATCTACAAGAAAGTTTTCCAGTGAAGCTAACTTAAGAAGTTAAATAATCTATCATTGTCATTTCTATTTCAGTGTTAAATAATTAACTAAATTAATATTAGATACTATACTGCTGAGATCCCCTCAAACAATAAAGGAAGTAAAACTCAGAGTATAAAGGAAGTAAAATCTACATGACTTTCATGTCCAACTATCTCTAAATAGGTTTAAATAACTTTAGGTCTTAGGGCAAAATATTTGGTTGCAGTATTTGAGTAAATGTTCATTGAAATGATTTGGAACTCTAAGTCATAACCATAAAAGATACTTAGTATAGCACTCAAGGGAAGAATTTACAGTGTTGGTGGGAATGAAAACTGATATAGCCTTTATAAGAAATATTATGGAGTTTCCTAAAAAAAAAAAAAAAAAAAAGAACAAATAAATGGTCCAGTAATTCCACTTCTGGATATAAGACAAAAAATCTGAGATGAACCAAACATAATCATAAAGGCTGGTATACTGAAGGTGGCAGAAATATAAGGGAACTTAATCAATGAACAACTAATTATAGGCCAAAGCCAAAGAATAGACTTTCACTTTCCTAAATATATGTTAAAACCTTGACTAATGACCCCTAGTGGCCAAACCCTCTCCTTCCTAAATACTTTCCACACTAAATTTATGTAATCCAGAAGCAACAATTACTTCTATTTGTGGACTTCCATCTGATCTCAAAATTTCATCTACTTTTTGTTATCCCTTTATTTTAGTCAGCTTTTCCACCGCTATGACCAAAAGACCTGACATGAACAATTTCAGAGGAGGAAAGTTTTATTTGGCACTCATGGTCTCAGAGGTCTCGGTTCCTAGATGCCACCTCCATTGCTCTGGGTCTGAGGAGAGGCAGAACTGTGGAGGAGGAAAGCTGCTCAAGACAGGGCAACCAGGAAGGAGAGAGAGAGAGCACTCTACTCATCAGGGACAAAATATAAACCCTGAAGGCATGTCCCCAGTGACCTACCTCCTCCAACCAGATCCTATCTGCCTACAGTTATGGCTCAGTTAATCCATATCCGTGGATTATTACACTGACTAGATTAAAAACTCTCTTAACCCAATCATTTCACCTCTGAATGTTTTTGCATTATCGCACACATGAGGCCACATAGAAGAACCATAACATTCTACCCCTGTCCCCCAAAAGCTCATGCCCATCTCACAATTCAAAATACATGGTGGTGCATGCCTGTAATCCCAGTGGCTTGAGAAGCTGAGGCAAGAATACTGTGAGTTCAAAGTCATCTCAGCAATGGCAAGGCCTGTCTCTAAATAAAATACAAAGACAGAGCTGGGAATGTGGCTCAGTGGTTGAGTGCCCCAGAGTTTAATCCCTGGTACCCCATCCCTGGCAAAATGCATTTAATCTAATTCCAAGGGTTCTCATAATCTTAAGAGTTCCACCATTACTCAAACATCCAGACCCAAAGTCTCCTGAGCCTCAAGGTAAACTCCTACCATGAGCCTCTGTAAAACACCAAAAGCAAATCACATATATCCAATATATAAGGGCACACACTAGATATTTTTATTATGTAACAAAGAAATAAGAGCATAGAAAGACTGAAACCCAGCAGGGCAAACAAGTCCTGGAGTTCCGCCTCTAGCATCTGGGGCAAAGAGCATGGTGATCCTTGCCCCTGAGGCCTTGCTGGTTGCAGGCCACGTGACCTCTCTCTTGGCTTGTTTCTGCTCAATTCCTACAGCTTTCTTCCAAAGATACCCCCATGTTAATGGCATCTCTTAATCCAGGGGTCTCCAGTGCAGCTTTGGCTTTCTTGCTATATCCTCAGGCACTACCTTTTCCGGGGCAGTCCTGTAGGGACTTCTAACCTGTTGCAATTTGTCTGATCTCCCTGACCTTCCTTTCAAATCTTAGTGGAAGCCTCCAAGACCCTGTAACTCCAGCATTGTGCCTTCCTGAAGAACCAGCACTGAAGGATAAGGAAAATGATTACCCAAGACAATGTGACCCGGGAGTAGGAAGGGAGGAAGAAGGCAAAAACATTGATCCTTCCCCAATAAATCCTTTCCCAGTGACAAGACAATATCTGAGAAGGACACACACATCAATCCTAAAATGGCAGTCCTGGTTAAACATTGATTCTTTACAATATAATGACCCCTGGAGCAAAAAGATAAGCACTGAGACCCTCCATCCTTTTCCAGTAAAAACACGTTTCAAATTTTTTCCTGAACACCCAAACTGACACATTCTGACAACGTCTCCAATGATTAACTCACCTTTCAGTGTAACCTATAAAACCCAGACCTCTCCTATAACCAGAGGCCATTTTCTACCCAGAAAGTGAGCCCTTCTGATGCCTGACAGCCAAGTAAAAGGCATTGCTGTTCTGTGAGGGCTGCTCCCATGGCCTTCATTTGTGCTTACAAGCACCATGAGGTTGATGCCAAGATCTGCCATCACCTCAAGCAGGAGTCGGTAGCTAAGCCTCCTGGGACCATGGCTACAGGAACCTCTGAGTGTCTGAGCAACTGAACCCAGTGAAACAGCTTCCTGAGTTCCCTGTGTAAACAGGGTGCCCCACTGGTCTCTTTCCAAAAAAATTTTTACCTTTACTCCCTTGAGCCTGAAATGGGTCTGGTCATACCAATTCCTGAGCTGCTCTTAAACCAACTTTCTCTGGATAAAGTCTTCAGCATTTCTAAAGGACTAAGGAACATAGGAAAGATCTTCCCTCTCCATGTGCCAGCCATGACCTTTGCACACCCTTGATGGAACATCTAAAGCAGGTGGCCTTCTGGGTGGTTTGGCTCACTCTTGAGCACTCTGAGTTGTTCACTTCTCTCAAGGCTATCACTCCCTTCCTTCCAGGAGCTGGCCAGGCTGTGGGGATAAGTGTCCTTGAGCAGATCACTAGGTCCTGCAGGTTGTTAGAACAGAGCTTTCTCTGTTCTACCTTGTATTTAAGGAGGAATAGACTTTGGAGCTTCACCCATGGAAATGCCACTCTGCCCAGGACTTCCCAGTCAGGACATGAAGAGCTGCCCAGGACTCCTCAGCTGCATGACTTCAGGGGTGGCTGTTTCCCCTGAACTGATGGTGTATTTTCTTTCCTTCCTCTCTTGCCTACCACTTTTGCTTTTTTTTGCTCTTGCTTTCATATTGTTCCTAACATAAATGCTATCTTGTTTAAAGAGTGTCTTCATTGTCTGTCGGGTCTGACCTACAAAATTCAGCAGCTGCACACATACCTATTGCTTTAATGTCACAATTTCTTTACTGAATGTAATGTCTTTAACAACCATAACGTCTTCAACCACAGTTTTACTCACACCTTTCTGGTCAAATGGGAAGTTTTTCAAATCTTGCTGCTCTTCTTTCTGCTTCTGATATCACAGTAAACTTGGCTAAAAGC